CTCCAAGTTCAAAGATCCTTCTGTTTCTACCCTACCAAGAATACATTCTATTCTCTAAATCTTTCTGTCTTTTAGTCACAGACATAAATTAAAAGCTTTCATTCTGTTTATCCTCAAAGTCTCTACCTTTTCTCTCCCTCTGCTCTATTTATCATCATTCCTGTGCACATTCATGAGACACTAAGTGTGAGCTGTAGTAAGGTGCTGGTTCAGTTACAGAGATGTCCAGGATGCAGGTTGTGGCTCATAATTGAGAGGAGATAAAGACAAGGACACAAGCAACTACAAAACCAGAGAGTCAATGCCAAGTCTCCTAAAAGTAAAACAATGTCATACAAGAGAATGATCACTACTCATAGGAGCTTCTTGGAAAAGATATCTTGTGTGTGTGTCATTGGGAACCTGGAATAAAGAAAATCAGACTTGGACTGAATTTATCATGGGCAATGTCATCTAGTTCCCTGCTTCACCAGATTGGGAACCAAGACCCAAAGGAGTAGTTGATGTTTTGCTAAGGTCACCTAGACTCTAAGAGTAGGATAGGATGGCACTGTAAGGAGATTCTGGTAATTACCTGAAAAACTGTTTGGCACAGAGTAGGAAGAGAGGTGTAGGTAAGCTTCAGATGTTTGGCCAATACTGCTGGCCACATCAGCTGTGAACAGAGATATTTACATAAATTTTCAGGTCCCAGTGCCCACAAACAAGTAGACTGTGTGAAGCTCTTCTGTTGATTTTGCTGGAAGCTCTCCATGCTCATTTAATGAGCACTAATGATAGATGCATGCTCAGAGTTACGGTGACCGCAGTGATTCTCCAGCTCAGAGTAGGGACTGTCCTTCTAAATTATCATCTTTTATTCATTCTTGTCTCTCCCACTTTTTCCTCCCACCTGGCCTCATACATCATTAACTCTTAAAATATACTTTTAATTAGAAAGTCTTTTTCCCCACCCAAGAATTTATTCTATGCCAAGGACACTGGATATATTCCAGAAAGGCTAGAGAATATGAATTGATGAGTAGGAAGATAATGAGATCCAGAGAGGATCCACTAAGCTACTTTCTGAAGTTCTCAGAGTAAATCTAGAGATGCCTGGCTTGGAATTCCCCAAACAGTGAACTAAAACTTGTGACACTATGCCTCCCCGCCTCCTGCGTCCCAGGTAGATGGTGTGCTCTAGATCTAGATTTTGGTTAGAGACAGGAAAGTGCTGTAAATTAGTGTACAGGACAGTGAACCTCAGGGGATGGTTGATCTAGGATCCACTGTCCAACCAGTTGACCTTGAGCTTGTCTTTTCAACTCTTTTAATTTCCATATCTTCCTCAATTAAATAAGAAACTTAATGCAAGGGTACTTGAAAAAGTTCATGGAAAAATGGAATTGAAAGATTAAGTTTAGGGTTGGCATTGTAGTGCAGCAGGTTAGGACACTGCTTGCAATAACAGCAATATCATATCAGAGTGCTGGTTCAAGTCCCAGCTACTCTGCTTCTGATCTAGCTTCCTGCTAATGCACCTGAAAAGGCAACCTATGTTGGGTCCCTATAAGCCACTTGGGAGACTAGGATGGAGCTCCTGGCTTCTGGCTTCAGCCTGGTCCAGATAAGGTTGTTGCAGCAATTTGTGGAGTGAACCAGTGAATGGAAGATCTCGGTCTCTGTCTCTATTTCTCTCTGTCACTGCCTTTTAAATAAATAAATAAATATTTAAAAGGATATATTTATTCTGGTAACATAAAATGAAATATATAGATATTTCATAATACACATTTTTATGAACTTTCTGAAGACCCCTTGTATCAGCATCATGGAGTGTAATGTGGATTAACTGAGTTAATGCAGGTACAGACTGTAGCATACTTCATGGTCTGACATGGAAGTTTGGTAGATTTTGTTTATTATTATTAACAATTATGCAGGAATCCCTAACATTTTTATATTAAGAAGGCACATGTTTTATAAATATGCATAATGCATACTATGAAAATACATATTATGAAAAAATGTATGGATTTCAAAATTTTTGTGCCAAAATAAACTTATCTCTTAATTTGATTTTTCATGAACTTTTGAAGTCTCCTTGTTAGACATTTCATGTTAAAGGAGACAAAATGAATTGGCTCCTTGTATATTTACCAGTAGCTATGTAACATGACAAATGCCTTCAATTCTCTCAGACTCACCTGCTAAATGAAGGAATTGGACATAATGACCTTCGAAAACTTTTCCAGCATGGCAATGAAGCATATCTGCCATTCCATATCCGGGCCAGCCAAGGTTCCTGTAAGAGACAGAAGGACTAACTTTTCATTCCTTGACTCTCATTTTTCTAGGTCAGTTTTTCTAGGCAATTCAACACCACAGACCACTTAATAACTGTTCATGACAGATAGACACTTAGTGATATGTTAGCTATAATAGGGAATTGCCCTTTACATGAACATCTTCCATTTGTTGTTGTTCTCTCCTACTGTTTCTCCTTTCAGCTCCCAGATAAACCTACACTTCAAATACACTCTTTTAAAAAAAAAACTTTTATTTAATAAATATAAATCTCGAAATTAGAACTTTCAGATTATAGCAGCTTTTCCTCCTATAACCTTCCTCCCACCCACAACCATCCCATCTCCCACTCCTTCTTCCATCCCACTCTTCATCAAGATTCATTTTAAATTATCTTTATATACAGAAGATCAACTTGGTATATACTAAGTAAAGATTTCAACAGTTTGCATCCACACAGATACACAAAGTATAAAGTACTCTTTGAGTACCAGCCCCACTGTTTATTCACATAGTACAACACATTAAGGATGGAGGTCCTACATGGGGAGCAAGTGTACAGTGACTCCCATTGTTGATTTAACAATTGCCACTCTTATTTATGACATCAGTAATAACCCAAGGCTCTTCTCATGAGCTGCCAAGACTATGGAAGCCTCTTGAGTTCACAGACTCTGACCTTATTTAGACAAGGCCATAGTCAAAGTGGAAGTTCTCTCCTCCCTTCAGAGAAAGGTACCTCCTTCTTCGATGGTCTGTTCTTTCTGCTGGGATCTCGCTCACAGAGATCTTTCATTTAGGTCATTTTTTTTTGCCACAGTGTCTTGGCTTTCCATGCCTGAGAAACTCTCATGGGCTTTTTAGCAGGATCCGAATGCCTTAAGGGTTGATTCTGAGGCCAGAGTGCTGTTTAGGGCATCTGCCATTCTCTGAGTCTGCTGTGTATCCCGCTTCCCATATTGGATTATTCTTTTCTTTTCTTTTCTTTTTTTTTTTTTTTTTTTTTTTTTTTTACAGAGAGGAGAGGCCGGGGGGGGTGGGGGGTCTTCCATCCATTGATTCACTCCCCAATTGGCCTCAATGGCCGGAGCTGTGCAGATCTAAAGCCAGGGGCCAGGAGCTTTTTCCTGGTCTCCCACATGGGTGCAGGGGCCCAAGGACTTGGACCATCTTCTACAGCTTTCCCAGGCCATAGCAGAGAGCTGGATTGGAAGTGTAGCAGCTGGGACTAGAACCAGTGCCCATATGAGATGCCAGCGCTTCAGGCCAGGGCCTTAACCTGCTGCACCACAGCACCGGCCCCTGTTCTCTCCTTTTTAATTTTTTTTTTTTATTTGACAGGTAGGGTTATAGACAGTGAGAGAGAGAGAGAGACAGAGAGAAAAGTCTTCCTCCCATTGGTTCATTCCCCAAATGGTGGCTACGGCCGGTGCTGCACTGATCCGAAGCCAGGAGCCAGGTTCTTCTCCTTGGTCTCCCATGCAAGTGCAGGGGCCCAAGCACCTGGGCCATCCTCCATTGCCCTCCCAGTCCACAGCAGAGAGCTGCACTGGAAGAGGATCAACTGGGACTAGAACTTGGTGCCCATATGGGATGCCGGCACCGCAGGCGGAGGATTAACCAAGTGAGCCATGGCGCTGGCCCTTGCTTCTTAATTCTATCAGTTATTATTAGCAGACACTAGTCTTAGTTATGTTATCCCTTTGACACTTAATCCTACCTTTATGATCAATTATGAACTGAAACTGATTACTTTGACTAGTAAGATGGCATTGGTACATGCCACCTTGATGGGATTAATTTGGAATCCCCTGGATGTTTCTAGTTCGACCATTAAGGGTAAATCCAAGTGAGCATGGGCCAAACTGTGCTTCTCCTCCCTCTCTTATTCCCACTCTTACATTTAACAGGGATCACTTTTCAGTTAAATTTAAACACCTAAGAATAATTGTGTGTTAATTAAAGAGTTCAACCAAAGGCAAATACACTCTTTTTAAAATAAAAAGATTTATTTATTTATTTGAAAGGCAGAATTACAGAGGCCGAGGCAGAGAGAGAAAGAGGTCTTCCATCTGCTGGTTCTCTTCCCAAATGGCTGCAATGGCTGAAGCTAGGCCGATCCGAAGCCAAGAGTCTGGAGCACAGCTCCAGGGGTGCACATTGCAGGGGCCTAAGGACTTGGGCTATCTATCCCAGGCCACAGCAGGCAGCTGGACTGGCAGTAGAGCAGCTGGGACTCGAACTGGTGCGCATATGGGATGCCAGCACTGCAGGCGGTGGCTTTACCCACTGTGCCACAGCACCAGCCCCTCAAATACGCTCTTAATTAGAAAGCCTTCTTCCTCATCCACTAGTTTTCATGTCTTTATTATTACTGCTGTTCTTATTACATTTTCTTTAGGTGAGGTGCTATCCCAGAGAATCTCTTTTTGTGTGCTCCATATTCCAAATCAATAAAGGTCAAAGTACTTGGATTAATGTGGTGGTGAGAATGTTACAATCCCTACCAACAATGGTCCTGCCAATTCCTTGAGCCTTTGCCTTGCCCTTGGGGTGGTCCCAGAGGCACCATTGGTAACTGTTGGGATTCCACAGAGCAGTTTGAAAACCACTAGTCTAGAACATCCTGATACAAATTTTATCAGAGTAAAATTACTTAACTCCATCTTCTTCCATCCTTTATTCATTCATTTTTCTCTTTTGGGGTCACATAGGGCTGTATGACAAATGTTCTTATACCTCGCGTGACCGAGGATGGGTCATGGGCATTCACACCGTCAGTGACCAAGGCAACAGAGATCCACGCTACTTTTTCTCCTTGAAGACAGACCGGGCTCGGCAAGTGACCACCATCAGTGCCCATCGCAGCTATGTGCCAGGACAGTGGGCATTCCTAGCTGCTACCTATGATGGGCGGCTGATGAAGCTCTATGTGAATGGTGCCCAGGTGGCAACCTCGGGGGAGCAGGTGGGTGGCATCTTCAGCCCCCTGACCCAGAAGTGCAAAGTGCTCATGTTGGGGGGCAGTGCTCTAAGTCACAACTACCGGGGCTACATCGAGCACTTCAGTCTATGGAAGGTGGCCAGAACTCAGAGGGAGATACTGTCAGACATGGAATCCCATGGCTTCCACACTCCTCCACCTGAGCTCCTCCTCCAGGAGAACTGGGACAATGTGAAACGCACCTGGTCCCCCATGAAGGATGGCAAAAGCCCCCATGTGGAAATCAGCAATGCCCATGGTGTCCTGCTGGACACAAATTTGGAGCCCCCTCTGTGTGGACAGACCCTATGTGACAAAGCAGAGGTCATTGCAAACTATAACCAGCTTCCGAATTTCCGCCGGCCCAAGGTGGTACGCTACCGCGTGGTCAACCTCTATGATGATAACCATGAGAACCCAACAGTGAGCCGCCAGCAGGTGGACTTCCAGCACCAGCAGCTGGCTGAGGCCTTCAAGCACTACAACATTTCCTGGGAGCTGGAGGTGCTGGAGGTGAGAAACTCCTCCCTGCGCCACCGCCTCATCCTGGCCAACTGTGACATCAGCAAGATTGGGGATGAGAACTGTGACCCTGAGTGCAACCACACACTGACGGGTTATGATGGCGGGGACTGCCGCCACCTGCACCACCCCAGCTTCATGAAGAATCAACAGAATGGTGTGTGCGACATGGACTGCAATTATGAATGGTTCAACTTTGATGGTGGAGAGTGCTGCGACCCAGAAATCACTGATGTCACTAAGACTTGCTTTGATCCCGACTCTCCACACAGGTAAGACCATCTTCATCAAAATATTCCCACTGAAATGTAAAGTCAATGTCCCTCATTTTTAATGGTTTTTATTTAACATAAACAAATTTCATGTAATTCATATATGCAGATTTAGGAACATAGTGATATTTCTCACCCTTACCCTCCCTCCCACCCACACTCCCACCCTTCCTCCTCCTTCCTCTCTTACTCCCTCTCTTAATTTTTACAATGATCTACTTGTTGTTTACTTTATACTCACAAGATTAACCCTACTCTAAGTGAAGAGTTCAACAAATAGTAAGAAGAAAAAACACTGTTCCTCAACAGTAGAGAAAAGGACTTTAAACAATCATTGAATCTCAAAATGTCAGTTTCACTCCTATACATTACGTTTTTACTACTCTTTTCATTACTACAGATCAAGGAAAACATATGGTGTTTGTCTTTTTGGGACTGGCTTATTTCACTAAGTATGATGGTTTCTACTTGCATGCAATTTGTCACAATAGACAGGGTTTCATTCTTTTTTATGGCTGAATAGTACTCTTTGTCCAGTCATCAGTTAATGAACATCTGGGTTGATTCCATATCTTAGCTATTGTAAACTGAGCTGCAGTAAACATGGCGTCTGATTTTCATATACTTTCATGTACTGATTTCATTTCCTTTGAATGTCTCTCGTTTTATAGCTAAGGCAGTAGAAGTCCATAGGGATTCTGGGATTTTCACAGTTCATGCAGTGGCTTTAGGACCATGGCAAGTCTATCACTCAAGTAATCAAGGGGAACACTTATAAGCACTATTCATTTTTAAAATATTTAATGAGTACCTACTATGGGCTGTGAAGGAAGACTCAGAACCCTGTATTAAAGGGCTCAGAGCTTACAGTGTGTACATGAGTAGAGCCTGATGTATTGGTGTCTTGTATATAGTCCAGCAGGCTAGGGCACCATTGTCCAACACAATAGACCCTCGCTACATGTGATTGTTTCCATTTAGATCTGTTAAAATTAAATAAAATTTAAACTCCAATTCCTAAATTGTGATAACTGTTTTCAAGTACCTAGCCACATGGGGCTAATGGCTATCCTACTGGACACAGCAATATGGAAAACTTCATTGCAGAAAGTTCAGTTGGGCACTGCTGGCAAAACTGGGGTCAGCTGGAATCAGATAACCCGAGTCCAGACCTCATATCTACTACCTCCTCACTCTGTGAACTCTTAAAAGCTATTTCTTCATCTGTAACATGGGAATAATGAGAGTACCTGCTCTGTCAAGTTGTTCTGGAGATTGGGAAAGTGCACTTTCTCTTACTATGGTGCGAATAAGCATGTAATTAACTCTTAGTAAGTACATTGATTGTTCCTTGAGTAACAAAGATAGTGTGTGGTGTTTAGGGAGTGCCATAAGAGATAGGAGAGAAGAGGTTGACTTTTAGTTTAAATATATCAGAAAGATATCTTTGAGATAGGTGGCGTTTGAGCAAGGTCTTCAAGGATAGGTATAACTTGGAGTGTGATAGAACAAGTCTAGGAATCTAATGTGCATGAGAGCTACAGATAATACCATTATATTTTATTTGAGATTTATGCTAAATGAGAGAGCTTTAGTTGCTGTTGTTATGAAAACTAACAAAAAGGGGTAATTATGCGTGATGATGGATATGTTAATTTGTTTCATAGTAGTAACCTTTTTACTATATGTCTACCATAACATCAGGTTGTATAGCTTAAATATACACAATAAAATTTATTTTTAAGAAGGGATAGGTAAAATGTAGACATCCAAGATTGATTTGGGGAGAGGTGGAGACCCTCAAGGCAGAGGGTCTAATGCCTCACTTAACCCTGCTGTGGCTGTCAGCTAGAACCAGTAATCCCAAAATGTAACCCAAAGGTGAACTCAGGAATGAACTACATTAGATGTGGGACCTGGAGGAACCAGAGAGACAGTCAACATCCATTTTCCTGTTTTTCTCGGATTCACATTGAACTTTTCCATTCTGTCCACCACACAGGACCCTGAACTTGCTGATGGCCCGAGCACATTTGCCAACCTCTGCAGGTTTTCTGCTGACTGTCCTCTTTATGTCTCTCCCAAAAGAGCAAGGGGCTCCCGTGCACAGACAAAATACCTATGTGTAAGGGAATGACGATGCTGGCAGGAGATTGTCATGCTTGGCAGCAAGTCAGAAAGCACGTCAGCTCAGCCTCCTCGCTCTAGGAGAGGCCGTGGACTCTCACCTTGGCTCAGAGACATGAGCAGCCCATGCAAGAAAGGTCACAGTGCATTATTAGCTCTTTCCTTTGGGTTTTGCCAGAGTTTGGCAAGAGAGACAAGATAGGGACGAAAAATCCTAGGGAGTGAAGTGACTTAGCCAAGTTCACAGGTCAGGAACGCCATTAGGCTAAATCACAAATGCAACAAATCTGTTATCAGTGTAGTGTGTGGTGTACTGAGCTAACCCCTTAGAAGATACCTATGAGCCTAGGCAGAGTAGGCACGGAGAAAGAGGGGCATAGCTGGCAGTCAGTCATCCATTTGCAGATCCATTCATTTGCTCATTCACTCATTCATGCAACAAATGTTTATACAACACCTGTCAAATGCCCTCAACCCTATTTTGCTGAGGAAAATGCAGCATTCAGATAGGTAAAGGGATTTGTCCAAGGTCATCCTGCTAGTAAGCAGATAGCTTGGATTTAAACCCAGCCTTACTGACTCCAAAACTCCCACTGATTTTTTTTTTTTTTGACAGGCAGAGTGGACAGTGAGAGAGAGAAACAGAGAGAAAGGTCTTCCTTTGCCATTGGTTTACCCTCCAATGGCCGCCGCGGCCGGCGTGCTGCGGCTGGCACACCACGCTGATCCGAAGGCAGGATCCAGGTGCTTCTCCTGGTCTCCCATGGGGTGCAGGGCCCAAGCACTTGGGCCATCCTCCACTGCACTCCCGGGCCATAGCAGAGAGCTGGCCTGGAAGAGGGGCAACTGGGACAGAATCCGGCGCCCCAACCGGGACTAGAACCCGGTGTGCCGGCGCCGCTAGGTGGAGGATTAGCCTATTGAGCTGTTGCGCTGGCCCCCCACTGATGTTTTTAAACCTGAAAACAGTAAGAGGCAGAGTTAAATGATAGGGCTGACAGGGTAGTTTTACTAGAGGTTAGGGAGAAGAGAGATGAGTTTGATTGGATCAGAACCAAGGGTAGCTGGGTTTGTGGAGCTGCGTGCTGGTGTGGAGAGGCTGTGGGGCCCCAGGTTCCAGACACTTCTCAATCAGCAGACAATGCTGGCAGGCTCTAAAGCCCTCCTCTTTTCCAAGTCACGGGACTGCATGCCCAGAATGTCTGTGAGCGGCCTTGTGCCAGCACTGTGACCACTCATGCCAGGGCCTGTTTATTTGCTGGCTGGGAAAGCTGTGTGCCCTGAATGAGCCCCATCAGTCCATGCTGTCTCCTGATGAGGCTAGGGGTTACTGGGTTCTGGCCGAATCAGCACTCCTATATGCAGAGAGAAACCTGTGGAAGGTTGCAGAGAAATGCTTTGTGACTTTAAACAAAAAAGAGGAGGGAGTAAGCAAGGAGGGAAGGAAGGAAGGAAGGAAGGAAAGGGAAGGGAAGGGAAGGGAAGGGAAGGGAAGGGAAGGGAAGGGAAGGGAAGGGAAGGGAAGGGAAGGGAAGGGAAGGGAAGGGAAGGGAAGGAGGGAGGGAAGGAGGGAGGAGGGAAAAAAGGTTTACATTATCTAGATTGTTTTTAATAAAGAGCCAAGGTTCATTCTGTCACTCTATTGTCTATCATCTATGTATATCTTTCTTTTTTAAAAAATATTTATTTATTTATTTAAGAGTTACACAGAGAGGAGAGGCAGAGAGAGAGAGAAGTCTTCCATCCAATGGTTCACTCCCCAGATGGCCGCAATGGCCATCAGCTGCGCCGATCTGAAGCCAGGAGCCAGGAGCTTCTTCTGGGTCTCCCACATGGGTGCAGGGGCCCAAGGTCTTGGGCCATCTTCCACTGTTTTCCCAGGCCATAACAGAGAACTGGATTGGAAGAGGAGCAACCGGGACTAGAACCGGTGCCCATATGGAATGCCGGCGCTTCAGACCAGGGCGTTAACCCACTGCGCCACAGCACCGGCCCCTATGTATATCTTTCTTAAGCATAAAGACAGTATTTAAATCACTACTTCTCAGTCTATAGCAAAGGGCCACTTTAGTTTTGTTTTTTCCTATTCCTTGAAAACCTCTATCAGCAACATAAATGAATTGATATAAACATGAAATGGCTCAGGAATGGTGCAGCACAGAGTTCTCTAAAAGGTTCCACATGCTGACTCTCCATTTCCACACTTACTCTGCCATGGACAAGTAAGAAACAGTTGTGGAGTCCCCACCTTGAGTAGCGCTGGTTAAAATTCATTATTCTGGGACGGCACCACAGCTCAATAGGCTAATGCTCCGCGTGCAGTGCCAGCACACTGGGTTCTAGTCCTGGTTGGGGCACTGGATTCTGTCCTGGTTGCCCCTCTTCCAGGCCAGCTCTCTGCTGTGGCCCGGGAGTGCAGTGGAGGATGGCCCAAGTGCTTGAGTCCTGCACCTGCATGGGAGACCAGGAGGAAGCACCTGGCTCCAGTCTTCAGATCAGCGCGGTGCGCTGGCTGCAGCGTGCTGGCCGCAGCAGCCATTGGAGGGTGAACCAACGGCAAAGGAAGACCTTTCTCTCTGTCTCTCTCTCTCTCACTGTCCACTCAGCCTGTTAAAAAAAATTCATTATTCTCACCACTTCTGTAGCTATTCCTTTGAGTATAGTAAGATCCACAGGTAGTGCAACTTGGCAAATTGGCAGACTCTCTCCAAAAAGTACCATCTCTTTTTGAACCTCTTATTTTGTACCTACTAGTCCTTGGGTCTGTTGGCTCATGCTTTCAGGAATGCATGTGTTGTACGAAAGGACTCAGTCCTAGCAGGGACATTGCAGAAGACATCAAAATGGTGTCAACTGGCAGACATGGAAACATC